TAAGCAGCATTAATATTAATTAATATTAATTAGACCTGGACTCACTTGATTTTTGACATTTTCGTGGCGACCGGTCCAGGAAGCACACATTGCACAGTGACTCCCCTGGGTCTACCCTCAGCAGCTAGATCTGCACTGAGTTTATCAACGAATGCTTTACTCGCTGCGTAAACTGATAGATAGGGGCTGGGAATAGCCGCTGCTGTGGAGCTTATATTAATTATCACTCCTTTTCTTCTCTCCATCATTCCTGGAAATACAGCTCGGGCAACTCCAGTTACACCAGCTACATTCAACTGCAGGATCTTAGCAATCGTCTCTTCCGATACGTTTGTAAATATCTCTGGGTGATCGTAACTTGTACCGGCATTATTCACAAGTACACCTACCTAAGGGACATAAGGGAAAAAATTATTATTGCCAGGAATCCACTGTCTTGACTCTTGAGAGAAGAATGCATTTTTCCAAAACTTTGTTTCTCTCATTTAGTAATTCCAAGGTGATTCTGATTATCTCCCGATGATTATCAGTTTATTCCTTCACTGAATGATTGTGGGATACGTTCTTGGATAAATTCCACTAATTATCAATTTTCTTGAAATACCTAATTTTTGGAAGAAGACAAATTGAAGCAATAGCTTTTTTTTTCTTTTTTTTCTTTTTTTTTTTTGTTAATTCCGGCCCTTTCTGCCCTGTTCTGACTAATTGGCCCTATTTCACCCTATGCATGCGGCTGTGGATCCTACACTGTACCATATTCACTCTCCTATAGAAGATAGGAGTGACATGGGGGAACCACAGAAAAAACCATGTCGGTACAGACGGTTGCTCTATTAGCAAGAAATAGTTTGATATTGATAATTATTAATGGAGCTTATTCAAAATTGTAACCAACATAACCATCCTCTAGAACAACATGATTATCATTATTATCAACATTATTATTAATATATTATGAAAATACATACTTCTCTGAAGTAAATGAATCCTTAGCAAAAATAATGATTTCCTCATTGTATATAAAACGATTTTTCCTCATTGTATATAAAACGAGAAATTGTCTCAGTAAATTCGACACTAATTTTTCTAATTACATAATTATTCTCTTTAGGTACGTCTGGCAAAATTTTTTGAACTTTCCACTAACGACTTAAGGCCCGGATGGACTGTCTGGAAAGGATAATTTACTCCAAAATTGGGACTTCTAATTACTCCGTCAATTAATCGTTTTTT